TCCGGGTTGTGTACTTTGTCGAGCTCCGCAAGGATCTCCTTTGCGGTCTCGCATTTATTCACGATTGCCTTGTCGGCTTCTCGGACGATGGCTGTAGTCACAAAGTGGAACGCCTGGAGGCCCCTCTGAACCTCATCACTTGTGTAGCCCAAGCTATACAGCTCCGAGCTAGGCCTGTTTGGGTCACCGACGGGTGCGTGCTTCTCGGCGTTGCCGATAAGCTGCCCGTCCAAGCCTACGGTTTTTGCGGCTTGAATAAGTGCCTTCCTCCACGAGTCGTACCCGTGGCCGCGACTCTCCCCTTCGAGACGCGGTGCATTGACCGTAACACGTTTTTGGCTACTACTGCTGTACCCATCAAAAAATGCTCCGGCCCCTCGAATTGCGGTTTGCTCACCTTGGGGGTTTAACCCCCTCGCTTCCCCGCGGTCCGGTCCTACGCCCGGGCTCATTCCGGCTGGCCCCACAGGATTCGCTCCCGATCTACCTGCCCAGCCAGTCGTCACTCTCGCTGGAACCCCAGGACTCGCTCCCGGTATGTTGTCCCAGCTGCTTTCCCGCGGGTGATTTCGCCCATCACGGGCCGTTTCCCGCGAAAACGCCCCGCCGCCCCCAGGCGGCAGAGCCTCTCTCTGGCTTGGGACGGCAGCACCGCCGCCCCTACTGGCATCGCCCGCCACGGCGTCACCAGGCTTCTTCCTCTTCAACTCCATCACTACGCTCATCAGCTGCGATAACTGGCCCTCCAGCCTCGCAATCGCCGGATCCTCGGCGTGTTGCTGTTGCGTGGCTGAGGTCTCTTCCCCCAGCCCTGCGACGGAACCGCTGTCCGACGCAGACATGACCCGATGCGGCTGTCCCTCGAGGGACAATCAACTCTAGAGTGTTTGTCGGCCGTACTCCGCGTACTTATCGGGTATTGGTTGTGTAGTGTATTAACTTCAGACGGTGAGGCAACGCCCGTACCCAGGGCGCTGTCGTGCTCAGAGAGGAGGAGTGGCAGCAGGGCTGCTGCACACAACAAAAGGGGGCCCCGGTGCATCATCACCGTACCCCTACCTAAAAGGTTCTACACCATCTGCGTCACACTTGTACGTACGGCTAACATATCCAAACCATGTCCGTAGACCCACGAACAGTCGGGACGGAAGCTTGAAGTTTGAGTAGCGAAGAAGGAAAAGGGGGGCTACAAAGAGGAAGGCAGCAGCAGGGGAACATTACGATGAAAACAAATTTCGGTAGGAGAGACAGCTTCAGAATTTTAAGAGCGAGTCTCCGCATGTTATTGCTTGACGGCATCGCGGCGTGTACGCATCGACTTCTCCCAAGGCATTTCACCCTCGCATCCTTTCTCGCCACTGATACGGGCCACCCAGTGTGGGCCTTACTTTGCCGATGCGAATCTGGCCTCGCAAGAGTTTGCCCCGCACTCGGGAAGGAAAAGGGGGGCAACAAGGTCGTCAGCAAAAGGCGTATATAAGGCAGTTTATAAGGAGCGGAGATGGTAATCGGACATCCACTTGGTGCCTACTTCGCACTTCCACTTGAAGCCTGTTTCGTGTCTGGTCTTTTTCGAGTATGTTTTGCATACACACCGGTCTAGGGGAACCGACGTCATACCGCCATCTCTCATTCTTGCGACCAGGGACACAAAACTGGTGTATACCACACGCCGAGAGCAGAACGAAACCAGCGGTCCACGCTGGGCTGTGTCAAATCGCAACCGCCATCCCAGAACTCAGAAACGGCGACGAGGATAACTCATCTCAAAAGAAAGAGGCTATTATCACAAACCACCCTTACGTGACTTGGTTTGTATTTATTATTTTTTTTCCCGTATTTTTCGTGTCCTCGTCTTCGGAAAATTCGGTTGTCTTCTTCGTAGTGTGAATATATTTTTCTTCTTCTACAATTCGAGTTGAATGAGGAACAGCCCCCCTTCCACAAGGGCGGACCTCTCCCTTCCGCAAGAAATCATCCAAACCCCGAATAGTAACGGCATCATTGACGGCAGGCCGTAAGCTCGCGCATGTGTGTGTGGCAGGGAACAATGTGGTCTACTTTATACGTTGGATACCACGAGGTCAGGTGCACAAGACATTGGATACAACGGAAAAAAAAAAGACAGGCTAAACTTCTCTCTTTTTGGGTGGGAATCGACGACAAGCATGCATACAGGACGTACGCCGTGGACGTGAACGCGCAAACGCATTCCTCCGGAACACTGCTACGATGATACAATCCCAGGCTGAAGGCGCCGTCGTCCCGCCCGGGACGTTTCGGCACGTTGGGACGTCTCGGGACGTTTCTCTCACAGTCTGGCCAACAGGAAAACCAAAACGCCTCTTTCGGGTATATCCAGCGGGCAACACGTGCGTACGTACGCGCCCGCTGAGATACTTTCATCCTCTGATCCCTTCAGTGGCGATGGGCGGGATATTTCACGCTGTTGTAACGTCACCACACCAGCCCAGGAGCAGCTGCTTGTACTGTGCCACGTCGGTGGTTCTGCGTCGACGCCATCTGCCTGTGTTCTGCGCTGGCCCCGGTTTTTTGTTTTTTTGTACGACATCCCCCACTCCTCCCACAATCTTCTTCTACCCCAACTCCAAACATCAACTTGGCCCTTGCTTGAGTTTGCACTCAAGCAAGGGCATCGTCGCCGCCGCCGCGAGACCGTATGTCATCAGACACGACCTACTGCCTTCTGTTGGGCACAGGAATTATCCTCGTGCAGAACGGATACCATTTCCGCCAACTCCTTGCCACACACCGAGGAATCTTTGACCGCGACGGCGTCGGATCCATCATCCCGCCGAAGTCCTGGGTGATCAAGACCTCTTCCGACGAAGCTGCCCGCGACCTGGCGAAGGAGCTCCGGGCAAAGACCAAGGACCGTCAGGGCTTCTGTGAGAAGGTGCGGGCTGTTCGCGTGTCACGCCTGCATTGTGTTGGCATTGTGTTAGGGCAGCAGCAGCACATATTTTTGTCAACATCCTGACCCCTCTGTTGCAGGTCAGCTCTGCTCTCGGGTCGAGGAAGATCCGTATAGTCGTGTCGGCCACCTGTGTTCGATGATGACAACCAGCACCATCCTTTCGCGAAACGCTCGTTGCACGCCCGTGTCGTGTTTGACTTGCACGCGTCACTTTCCTGTCCCTCTCGTTCCTGCCCTATGCAGCTATGTAACTTTGCCCCTTTTTTTCCTGTGCGCATCGACCCTTTAACCCTCATCGACCCTTTAACCCTTACGTGACTACAGGCCGATTCAGCTCCGTTCTCAGCTCCGATCACTATGAGTGCCGAAAGATCGCCGTTGTGCCTCGGCTTAGAGCAAAAAACATACATAGGGACCAGCAGGAAGACACAGGCAGCCCACCCCAAAAGCACGCTTATCAGCAATGCGCACAGTTCTCACATAGTACAATACTATTCACCCATGTCTAATCTCTCTGACGTGGAGCCGATATCCTTTCCAGATCCAATCTACTGCCTACCGGTACTGCCGTAGGTTTCAAACGCAAAATACCACCGGAGGGTACATACAGCACCCTGAACATGTGATCAACCCGGTGCCGCATCCGCGGGGGAGAGCAGAGAAAGCGCACACCGAAGCCGATGCTAATGTACTGCCTCGGTGCTTGATGTTGTTGTGATTGCGGTGCGTGTGGTTCCCAGTATTGGGAGTGAAGGGTGATTCGTCTGCTGTGTGCAAAATTTGGCTCAAAGGCAAGGGTTTTCGGGACTACAGCTCCGATCACAGCTCCGATCACAGCTCTCTATTTGTAGTACAGAATAGTAAAATATATCACGATTTTTATGCATTTTGTGCGATAGTGGATGATAGTCTCGATTCTCTGATGAGCGGGCCGTTTTTTTCGTCGATCTTGCGCTTCTGTGAGGCGGTTTCCCGTCAGCATCTTCGCATCTAGCGCCGGTAGCATATGCGCTTGCAGTATGCTCTGTCTAAGGATGAGGTGGAGAAGATGTGCCAACAAGTGTTGCTTGCACAGGTATTTCCTCTGTGCGGACGGTTGCTGTCGGACACAGGCATGCACAACTGCTCAGAAACTACTGCTGCTGTACAGCAGCCTATTTATCTCCGCATAGCTGCTACTGCTGTACAGCAGTAGTACTACTGTACTCCTGTTTGTCACCCTTACATATACCGCGTCCCCATCCCTGTGAGCCCCACACATGGACCCAGTGCTGTACCATCCTTGCCGCCGTGATTTATGGGTGTACACGCATGCTTCGAAGATCTTTGATCGCAGAGAGCCAGTTGTGGGGAAAAAAACGAAAATAATCAAATTAACCCAGTCACGAAAGGGTTAACGTAACATGCCGCCTTTCCCTCTTCAAACAATCCAGGTCTATATCCTACAGCCCACCTCTGCCGACTATCAGGCCCTCGACGCCGCG